CACACTTTTTAAAAAATAGTATTTTCATTATTGATTCTGTAAGAATATCTGAGATTCTTCAAGGGACAAAATAAACAGAGGAAGTTAGAAAAGATAAAGGAAAAGGAAAACAAAACAGCTCTAGAGTAAAAACATTGAAAGTTATTATTTTATACATTTTAAAACTTGTGAATTTTGTGCAAACTTACCTTAATACAGGGTGCTAATAGTCAGCGAATAGTCAATATAGTAGTATAACAACTTAATGTTGAGGCAGGAGATTCCTGGCATACCATCTATCCATTCTACAGTAACAATTGGATACCTTTAGTTTGACAACTATTTCCTGGGCACCCAGAGTGTGCCAGGCATGTTAATAAGGTTTTAATTAGAAATAGAAATCAAATAATTCATATTTGGGGAAACTTAGAGTCCAAGTGAACAAGGTAGACTGGGAAATACAACTTTTCGAGAGGATAGGGTCAGTTCTCTGAGAGGTATGTAGAGATTGTTTTACCTCAGGAAGGTCTTCTGAGGAGGGGACACCAAGATAATTGAGCAGGAATTAGCCCTTCAAGGGAAAGGCAGAAAGTAATGTGACAGATAAAGGAACAGAGCGATGGCACAGACAGGTGCTACAGCATGGTGTGTGCCAGCCAACTGCTGGCCACGTAGACAGGGGCGACAGCATGATGTGTGCCAGCCAACTGCTGGCCGCTTAGCCCTATCATTGTCTGTAGTGTGGAACACAGAGAGGGGAGAGGTGGCAGGAGCCATGGGTGTCACGTGAGGGAGGGAGTCTTGGGGGTCATGCTAAGGAGACTGAATAGGCCTCTCAGGCGAAGCCATCAGGCAAGGAGCTGAGCAGGGGAATGGCAGATTGGCAATTTAAAGATAGAACAAAACTGGTTTTGACGAGTGGGTGGCAGACAACAGGAATGACAGCAAGAGGATACCAATTAGGAAGGTTTTACAGCAGCCAGGTGGGAAACGGGATGGCAGGATTGTGCAGATGTGTGGACGAGTGCAGATTAAAAGGAGGAGAGACTCAAGACCCATCTGGAAGGTAGAATCAGAACTTAGGGACTCTGGGAAATGAGGAAAGAAGGTAAGAGAGAAGTCAAGAATACAGCCTAGCCGACTAGGGGATAAAGGTACTGCCAAAGGTGCTGCCAACCAGCAAAATTCAGAATGGATAATTATCCTGGGATGATTTATTTGTTTAAATTAAATGTATAAATAAATAACAAAAATAAAACTTTTTATAGCAACAATAAATATGTTTTAAATAAACAGAATTTTTTTGTTTTGAGACAGAGTCTTACTCCCTTGCCCTGGGTAGAGTGCTGTGGCAGCATGGCTCACAGCAACCTCAGTGCCTGGGCTCAAATGATTCTCTTGCTGCAGCCTTCCCAGTAGCTGAGACGAGAGGCTCCTGCCTCAACACCCAGCTAGTTTTTCTACTTTTAGTAGAGATAGGGTCTCGCTCTTGCTCACAGGTCTTGAATTCCTGTGCAATCTACCCATGTTGGCCTCCTAGAGTGCTGGGATTACAGGTGTGAGCCACTGTGCCTGGCCAGAATAACTTATTACTTATTTTAATTTTCATCTAACTTATTGTAGATCTACTCCATAAGATTCATTAAATGATATATATTCAAATTATAACATTTTTTATTCTTTTTAGTTAAAATCTAAATTTTCATCTTTTTAAAATAATTTTTACATAAAAATCTTCACTTTTATTTAGAATTTAGTGATTACAGAAATGTCCCAGGGTATTTCGTTTATCATCCCAGGTCCTGCACGCACAATTGTAAAAACAAAGGTTGAGTAACTAATCTTAGAGTTATACTCCAACGTGGCTCCAAGGAAAGCATTTTAAGAAGTGGGAGCTTCAGACTATGTTACAGCAACAATCTATTCTCTAGGGGAAGAACAAAACACATATTTCTTTTAAAGCAATATTAAAATGAGTATCTTGTGGGTTTTTTTTTTTTTTTGGCCATCTAGATTGGAGCCATGGCTTTGGAAGACAACCAGTCAACAGATTACTATTATGAGGAAAATGAACCAAATGGCACTCATGACTACAGTCAGTATGAAATAATATGTATAAAAGAAGAAGTCAGAAAATTTGCAAAAGTTTTCCTCCCTGTCTTCCTCACAATAGCTTTCATCATTGGACTTGCAGGCAATTCCATTGTCGTGGCCATTTATGCCTATTACAAGAAACTGAGGACCAAAACAGATGTGTACATCCTAAATTTGGCTGTGGCAGATTTACTCCTCCTATTCACTTTACCTTTTTGGGCAGTTAATGCAGTCCATGGATGGGTTTTAGGGAAGACGATGTGTAAAATAACTTCAGCCTTATACACAGTGAACTTTGTCTCTGGAATGCAGTTTCTGGCTTGTATCAGCATAGATAGATATTTGGCAGTAACTAAAGCCCCCAGTCAGTCAGGAGTGGGAAAACCATGCTGGATCATCTGTTTCTGTGTCTGGATGGCTGCCATCTTGCTGAGTATACCGCAGCTGGTTTTTTACACAGTAAACGACAAGGCTAGGTGTATTCCCATCTTTCCCCAACACCTAGGAACCTCAATGAAAGCTTCGATTCAGATGCTAGAAATCTGTATTGGATTTGTAGTGCCCTTTATTATTATGGGGGTTTCCTACTTTATCACAGCAAGAGCACTCATCAAGATGCCGAATGTTAAAATATTGCGACCCCTCAAAGTCCTGCTCACTGTGGTCATTGTCTTCATTGTCACTCAGCTGCCTTATAACATTGTCAAGTTCTGCCGAGCCATAGACATCATCTACTCCCTGATCACTGACTGTGACATGAGCAAACGCATGGACGTTGCCATCCAGGTCACGGAAAGCATCGCCCTCTTTCACAGCTGCCTCAATCCGGTCCTTTATGTTTTTATGGGAGCCTCTTTCAAGCACTACATTGTGAAAGTGGCCAAGAAATACGGGTCCTGGAGAAGACAGAGACAAAATGTGGAGGAAATTCCTTTTGATTCTGAGGGTCCTACAGAGGCAACCAGTACTTTTAGCATTTAAATGTAAAACTGCTCTGCCTTTTGCTTGGATACACATGAATGATGCTTCTTCCTCAGAAAAAACATCTGCATTACTCTGAAACTGAAATCTCAAAGTTTGAAACTTATAACAAAGAAGGGGCTGGGGGGAAGGGGAGGATGAAAGCCAACAAGAAGAGGAAATAAGATAGTAAATGGTCAAAGTGGTGGGAAAATTAAAATTAGCAGTATCAGAAAGTAGTAATAGGCATAAATGAATAAAAATACTCTTCTATAAAGAGGAAGGTTTTATATCTTGATTGCTATAGTGTTTATACAAATCTACACATGTCATAAAATAACATAGACTGACAGACACACATTGTATCAATTTCAATTTCCTGGGTTTGATATTATACTATAATTATATAAGATGGAACCACCCGGGAAAACTGGGTGAAGCGTACCCAGGATCACTCTGTACTATCTATGCAACTCCCTGTGAATTTATAATAATTTAAAAATAAAAGAAGTTTTTAAAAAGATAAAAATACCCCACTACGCCATAAATTAGACCATCTAAAACAGATTAATATAAAGAGGCTCATGTTAAGAGGCATTTATAATTATTTCTAATTATCTAAATTTTAATACAAGAACAATTTCCCTGTATAATTTTGGCATTTGAATAACTACACAACAGAACTTAACCTGTTTTTTTTTTTTTTAATTTTATAAAATCCCAGAAAGAAAACCAAAATAATACACAATAATCCTTTCTGACTCTTTCAGTACATTCCTGGTAATTTCTTAAAAATATAATTTCTTCCATGATGTCAATTTTCTTTGGTCATGATTGGTTATCCTGGTAAATGTTAGGCTTATCAAGTATACTCTAGAAACAATCCTCAAATTATCATACTTATCTAGGTTCAAATTTCTAAAACTTCCTAAAGAACTCATTCATTTATGTGAGTCTGCTGAGGGCTGGCTAAAACATATATTATCCTATGTATAAATGTCTTTTTTTTTTT